TTGAATGCAGATCCACCAGATCAAAACTTGATGCTTAACATGATGTACTAAGTTGTAGACACAAAGCTTTTTACAGGGTTTTCTTTGATATTACAGTATTATATGTTTTCAAATATCTAACCCGACCTTAAACATACAGTACATATTTGTCTGCCAAAAAGTAAATTCAATCTTTCACACCCCCTGCCATGTATTACGAGCTCTCTGATGGTGAATAATTCTCCAGTCTCTCTCTTGGCCGAGCTTTTGGATTTCAGGCTCAACTTGTTAGCTTGTTTGGCCCAAGAACCAGCATTTACAAATCCTTCTTGTACCGAATTGGCTCTCGGGCCAAGACAACTACGTCACCCAGAATCCCCAGTGGTGGCCATTACTCAAAACTAGTCATACAGCATAGACGCTCAGCAGAATGGGAAAATGATTTCAACATTGCTGAGAGGGAACAGCTGCAGCGTTCTGCTGTTGGAGGACGACAGATTTCCTTTTCTCTCTTCCTCTCACTCACTCCTTTCACTTTATTCTTCTTCTCTATTTTTGGCTCTATATTTAGTTTTTCTTTCACTTCTTCTTTTCTTTTTCTTGATTTTCTCTTCGTCTGGATCCTTGCTTCAGCCTCTCCCGCTCTCTGTTTCAGTTACCCCCCATTCCAGGCTATTCACACCACTGTGCGTGCAAACACACACAAACAGTATATACACAATTACACACAAGGGAACCCAACTCTCAAAATACATTCCCAGGAATATTAGTCCAAGGAATTTTAATAGCGCCCTTTCACATTTCAGAAAAAAAAAAAAACCTAACATGCTGTTCGCTAACGGAGTGGAACAAAGCGTGTTACTGAGAGTGTGTATGTGTGCGTTTCATAGTATGAACTGGTTTCGTCCAAATGTTACCACAAGAGCGGATATCCAGAGGTTGTACTGTAAAGCTGTCATTTGTGACTTAGAAGTTGAGGTAGAGGAGTAATTTTCTCTCATTTTTAAGGTTGGAAAAACAGCATTTAGGGAGAGCTGTTAGCTATTAAAGATTTTGTGTGTGTGACAAGTTACTGTATCTCTAAATTACCACAGAAACGGTGAAACCACTGCCTGGAGGGAAAAGCCTGGAGACAAATGACCTGTGGCATTCAGTGAAAAATGTGAACTGAGAGGTTGTAGCAGACTGAAAAACACAACTAGTGTATGTTGTGTGCCTAAAAACGCACTCGTATACAAAAAACCTCCATTTAGGGTATGAATCTGAGAGTGTTGAACTCCCCTAACTCCTCTTTTTTTGGGTCTATGTTGTGTGAATGTGCATGTACATGCTTGGTCTTCTATGTATCGTGTGTGCGTGTGTGTGTGTGTGTGTGTTTGTGTATGTGTGTGTTAGCAGAGCCACATCTGGAAACAATAGAGCAGTAGATGCTGTCACTTTCCCTTTACCTCAGGCTTTTGAGTGAGTTCTTAAACAAACAGTCAATTCACTCACAGTAAATTACAGGAAGGCTATCTGAGCTGCAGACTTAGATATTTGGACTCTCTTTCTCTCTCTCTCTTTTTGCCGGCGCACACACGCAAACACACAACACACACAACACACACAAGCATGCCCAGAATTAATCAGTTTCTCCAGATGCAATTTTACCCCTGCACTGGAAAATTACAGCCTAAAGTGCATTAAGTGTAATTGTAAAACCAAATTACAACAAATTTTGAAGTGAGAGGAGGTGTGTGTGTCTCTGCAACCGTGTATGTGTGTGCGGGGGAGTGCGTGCGCACTCATGTGCGTGTGTTTGAAGTTGTAAGTTCATAGCTGATGAGATGTGATGGATGGTACAGTAATGTTTACACTGTATAATTACCGTGTTTCCACTGTGGATTCAAAACAAATTTGGTGGTTATGGAGCGTTTCTTATCCTAAACCAGAGTAACTGTTTTAAAAGAAATGCAAAACTGAGTCACTGCTGTATAGATAGGTAGAGTCAACAGGGTAATGAGGCTGCAAACAGTTGTTTAAAAGCATCAGCTCCTGACAAAGCATCAAAACATAATTTGTCTCATCAGACAAGAGGTGGCAGCATTGTTCAACCCATTAAGTGAACACAAACTCAGGATGTTAAAAGAAGTTTTAGATGCAAGATACTGCATGGAGCCATTACAGAAAGCACTCACTCACTCACTCATACGCTTAACTGCCCCACAAAATGTGTATACATGAGACGATACTGCATGATTAGTTGTTCATCTCTAGTATATAATGCTTTCACACACACACCCCACACACACACACACACACACACACACACACACACACACACACACACACAAGAAAACACACAGAAATTGTGTCAACATATTGGAAACCAAAAAGTTTTTATTCATCTTCTTCTGATACAAAAGTGTTTTTTAAATAACAAACAAGTTTTACAATTTTTTGTCACTTTTTTACAAGGATAAATTAGCAATTTCTTTATAATACACTGATGACTTCATCAAGACACTGAGTTTTTCTACACAAACGAACAGTCTAGACCTTAAAGGCTACGATCAGTGTCGGTGAACTGACGCCGACACTGATTCTGGGCTTCTCAAAAAGCATTTACAAATCTCTATTACCAGTGGTTCTCGATCTTCATCAGGCTGTGGCACATACACAGTGTTTCAAGGCACAACTATTCAGTGATTGTTTGGAAATGTCACCTGAACCTCAGTGTGATCATATGAGAGCAGACTGCCAAAACATTAAGACAGTTTAAGGGAGAAACTGCATTAGCTCAGAGGGGAGGTGGTCAGAGGTTAATTTAATTCACTTTAACTCAATGTAATGTTTGTTTGACTTTGGAAATTTCATGAGCGTGCCAAGGTATGCTGGTTTGAGAAACACTGGTTTTTCAGGGTTCTCGGTTTCACCAGAACCACCAAAAAGTATCTTTGAATGCAATAAGGGTGATGTTACATTTAACATATTTTGGGAAAAAATAATTTTCTGTCCCATTCTAAATATTTTGCTAAAAAACACCTACGACAGGCTGTGTGAGGCACTAACTGGTTTCGTATGAGACACAGGAGGGCAAAACTCCAAATTATTCAAGCCCTTATACATTAAAATTACCCAGAACCACATTTTCTTTGTCAGCTGTACAAGGCGTAATGTGACACACAGCCCATGTATTATACATTCAAAGACTCACTGAAATACAAGAGCTTTGCTTGATAGATTGTCAGGCAAATATACGGTACACAGGAGCAGTTGTGGAATTTGGTGAATGCAGCGGTAAGACATAAGGAGTCAACTTATTGTAATTAAAACTCAGTTATTGAGAAGAACTGCAAGATTAACCTGTTGGAAAAGGCCTATTATCAACAAAATGTGCCGCTAGAGACAATTAATCAAAATCTCATCTCTATCATCCATGAAATTCTGAAATGTAATGCACAATAATCTTTTCCAGGGATGACTTGATTGTCTGGGAAATGAGCCATGTATACGAGGTTAAAGGAACCGGCAGGTAGTGGGCCAATGAGAGCAACAGACTCTCAGACATACAGATGTGCAGGCAGAACAGACACGCCTATTAATAGTGCCAATTACATTGTGCTTATGTGATTGAAAAATAGGCAATACATGGACACAGACTGAGAAGAAAAGCAGACAGCCAAAGTTTTGACAGCTACACTCTTGTTATTATTGCCGTTTCTTCTCCTTTTCATAGTGATCTTAACTCGGTGATAGAAGCTGATGGATGAGATTCGTGGGAACTTGTGCGTGCGTGCGTGCGTGCGTGCGTGAGTGTGTGTGTATACCTGCACTGTGACAGCTCTATGTTGCTGCATAATGTGTCTTTTGGCAAATGATTGTCTAATAACCTCTAATTCTTTAACCTGCCTCAGGTCTGATGTTTGGAAAAGAGGGCAGGGGGAATAATTTAATTTCCTGGATTTCATGGTAACGTATACAGTGCACGGTTTCCAGGAAGACTGCACACATCACTGGACGTTAGCTGAGCTTCTCATAGACTGCTGAGGTAAAACACACAGGCCTACATTTCCCAGGCGCCTTACAGCTTCCACATTTATGGGTCAATAAAAGGCACAGCTGGGCTACTCCCATGATTCATGGCCGTATGACTTCATATCTACCACAGACTTTACCTTAATGTACAAGACAGATAAAAAAAAAAAAAAAAACATTTCTCTATCTGCCGTTGCCCTTCATAATATTTGTAAGAAAAGTGATCGTGAATTGTTTTTTACACATTTGAACAATAAACCACATTGGTCATCATTTCTGTGTAGATAATGAAAACTGACCAGACCCTCCCTGTTAATGGCTCTGTGCATATTAATATACTTTGCAATGATCTGTTATGAGTCCCACCACTGCCACTTGTGACAAGCACAGACACTTCACATATTGTATATAACTATAGTGCATCATTACAGCTTAGTGCTGGTTTCCCAAAAAGCAATAATACCTTTTTTAATTGTACAAAAAACTATAATTTACAAAAAATGCAGAATAATGTTCAAATGTAAACTCACTGCATTTCATTCATTTCATTACTTTTGGTCTGGTATTTCATTGTCCTTTCATTTTCGCATGTGAAAGGGGCTCTCAAGGTGTCAGATGCTTTTGGGAAACTTCAGCCTACATCTGTATAATATCTGCACCAGGACCCTCCAGTGTAAAATTAAAAACTTCAAAAAGACCCTAAAAACACAAAACGGCATAAGGGTTCACTGTATCCAGCAGGTTCAGTCTCATCTGCTGAGGGCTCTGGAGAAAGGAGAGACAGAGAGGTAGACATGGTGCTACACAGCTTATCGGTGTGTCTGGTCTGCATATCGATGCTTCTGTTCTGCCTTTTCCGTCTCTCTTTCTCCTTCATTTCTTTTTTTTTTTTTTTTTTTTTTTTTTTTTTTGCTTTCTCTATCTCTGGGCAAAGGTAGTCTAACAGAGGTAGAGATGCTAGTGTTGCTACTTCTTTATGACTCAGTCCTCCTCTTGTCTCCTTCTTAACTCCTTTTTAGAGGCTCAGAGTCAGTTAGAGGGGTGACACATGCTCATGGACTCTCGGCAATCTTCTCTTGATGCCATTACATCCTGTGGCTTCCTTGAGAACCTCCTGCTCCGCTTCTGTGTCACATTATTCATCCCCCTCTCACCTCTTGATTCTCTTTCCTCACCATCCATCGTTAGGCAGAGTGAGTTTCTGTTAAGTGTGAGAGAAGCAGGTAGAAGTCCATTCCTGTCTGCTCCCTTTTTATTCCTCCTCACACAACTGTCTCATTGCCTTTCCCCGGTTTGATCCAGCCCTCCCCTGGTGCCCTCTTGCCCCCTCGGCTCGCCCTGCTGTCTCTGAGCAGGCGGGCAGAGCAGCGTTGCCAGGTATGGAGGGTTTTCGCCGACCAGATCCACATGCCTGATGTGATCCCTACAAGCAGTGACATGAAGATTCGAAGCATCTCTGATGCCACGTATGAGTCCCTGGTGCTGGCCTTAAACTCCCCCCAGTGAGACAGCTGGTAGAGGTAACAGCCAATGACTGTGGACGCTGGGACAGTGTAGAGAACAGAAAACACTCCAATCTTCACCATTAAACGCTCCAGCTTGTCTGTTTTGGCACCGTCCTTCTGCAGGTTGGAACGGATCTTGAAAAGAGCCACCAGGCCGGCGCAGATGAACAGGGTGCCTGAGGTGCAGACAGGAAAACAAGATAAGCACATCAGATAGAGAAAACACAATGACAATGATAAAGCAGTAGGAACTGAGAAATTACATGTGAGAGTTTGCCAAATATAGGTATGAGCACACTATTTTTTAACACAAGGAATACAAATACAAACTAATTGTACTATGTTTCTGTAATTACCTATGAGAAGGTATGAAGCCAGTGGAGCCACCACAAAGCCTGTGAGTGCTTCCTGCTGCTGGTTGCCAACATAGCAGAGTCCAGTCAGGTCATCTGCATCCACCAGTCTCATTATGAGGATGACTATGGTTTTAACCGCTGGGATGGCCCAGGCTGCTATGTGGAAGTAGGAGCTGTGCATCTCAATAGCCTCATGGCCCCACTTCAGTCCAGCAGCCAAGAACCAGGTGAGCGTCAGGATCACCCACCTAGAACAGAGAGTGCAAGAAGAATGAGGGAAGGGGCAAACTCTGCTCATGTGTGCAATTATCAGATTATCTTTCTCACTTTGGCAGCAAATAACAATCAAATGTTTCATTGAAACAAGATGCTGAGGCAAACCTTGTGCTACTGTTTACTGCTAGAGCATCTCAAAACTTTGTTTGTTACATTGTTTTTCACAGCCAAACAGGTGGACATGTGCAGTTCTCTGTTGTAAGAAGCACATCCTGACACCAGTTAGTCACGAGTTACACAAAAGAGGGCTGTGGTCATATTTTAGGAGAGAGTGAAGTCCTTGAGCTTTTTAGCTTGTTGCATTTCCACGAGAGAGGAGAGAGGACAAACAGGAAAATGGGGGCAAAGTGAAAAGGAAGAGAAAATGCTGTTACAGCAGTGTGTTTCCACTGCAACTGTGGTGCAGAACGATGCACGATGCAAAAAGTGTCATCTTTTACCAAGGCTGCCTTTGTATGTGGAAATGATCCATCTAGTACAGAGGTTATGAGACAGGATGGTTAGACTTGAAAGAAAACAGGATACAAGTCTTGTGTTCCAATTGTTCCACCAAAGTCCATTCACAACATCTGATGACAATGGTCAAACTGGGAAAAAGAGATGAAGGATTGATATGACAAATGATAAAGTGCATGTATGTGTGCGTTTGTACTGACCATAGTGAGGAGGCCATGCCAAAGAAATAGAGGAGGAGGAAGACTATGGCACAGCCGGTGCTCTTTAACCCTTCCTGCACTAGAATTGGAACCGCTGTGGCATCCAGGTCGCAGGAAACACGCTCCCTCCCCAGAGTCAACCTTACCTGGAAAATGAAACAAGAACAAAAAGGGAAAATAGTTGTAAGGTTTTATTCATCACAGAAAAAGCTGAATCAATATTTTCACTATCTGTATTTACTTCGGATCATTGATTTTGGCATACATTTTTCTTTTAATTTGTTTATTGGAAGAAGACAAATCTCATTGATCAAGAGAGGAAACTGTAAACGAGGCAGACTTCACCTAGTTGCCTCATTTTCATATGAAAATCCCTAGTAAATGAAAAACACATGCAAGGAAAGGAATGGCAGTTTAAGACAGACAAGGCTATGTACAACGTACACGGCGGGATTTTTATTTATTCTGATTCCACCAAAATCTAATAATCAGTTGGTCTGCACAATTAATTGAAATATAATCAAAATCGCAGAAATGGCCAAGTGCAATATCCAAATCACAGGAGCTGCAATTTTTTTGATAAAGGTAAAATGTGTCACAATATTGTTGTGCACTGTTAGCACCATAAGTGTTGTGGTGCTACAGAGACGCCCCGGCCTACAAATCCTATTCTCCAGACGTAAAGGATCATGATTTGTTTGGTACAAAACTCAACAAGAATCACATCAGCATTTTTTGTTTTCAGTGAAAATTAAATGCTAAAACAACCATTCCAACTGAAATCGTTTATTCATTTATTGTTAATCGTTTATCATTTTATGGAGTTTTGTCACATTTTCTGGCAGCGTTTTGTTCTTGCGCACGTGATGTTATCTAATCTTTTGGTGTCTGAGCATGTATTGATTTTTTTTTTTTTTTGGCTCTTGTATTAGTATCAGTAAGTTTTATCCATTGTTTTTATTTCAGTTAGTCAGTGCAGGACAGTATACTTCTGAATCTCCCACTTACCAGGTATGCCACACTGTACAGATTACAGCACATAGACAGGAAGATGATGGGCCGCTCAGGGTAGGAAAAACGCTGTGAATCCAATAGAAAGGTCAAGACCGTCAGAGTGGTCGACAGGAAGCATAGCACGGCCCACACCGCCATCCATGCGTCTGTGAAGACTTTGGCCCCTCGTCGGTAGAGCCCGCTGTCGTAGCCACACTGCAGAGTACAGCTTTCAGTCTGTTTCAGCCAGGTATACTGGTCAGGTGCAGATCCCAGGGCCTGACACTCCTCCTGGTGGGGAGGATGGCGGACTGGCTGGTAGGGTGGGTCCTCATCGCCTGGACCCTCCATACACATGTGGTTGTGGTCATTTTGAGGCGGAAAGAGGCTGCAGTTGAGCACCTAGAGAAGATATAATAGGAAATATAATTTTTGGTGGCTTATTTAGGCTGTGAATACATACTGTTAAAAACACTTAGAGCTAATCTACATCATTTTTATTGTCCTAAAAGAAAGCATTTTGTTTTTTTTATTTCCACATCACTCAACCACACCTTAAAGTTATATTTCCTAATACACACAGAATTTTCCTGTGGTGATGTGACTCACCTCAGGCCATATGAAACCAAACTCATGGAGCACTGGGAGGCATTTTCTCTTGACAGACAGACACATGCTACCACATGGGCCAATGGGGATGGGCACCTTGTCAGTGCACATCGGCACGTACACTGAGCACAGGAAGAACTGGAGAAAAATGGGAGATGAAAGGTTATAAGTTGAAGATTTTGATCTGAGTATGTTTTACAAAACAGCAAAGCGTGTGTTCGGCTTTGAGATTTCATAACATGCAGTAAAAAGTAACTACAGAGCAAGTTTTGAGAGGAGGAGCAATCGCACACAAGTCGTTAAATGAGCTGAGACTGGTAACGTGAGTAATGTGTTGTGCGTGTATATATTCAAATAAGAGCTATGAGAGAAAAGAAAGGAGCAAACGTGAGGAATGATGTAAGAAGAGTGAAAAATGACAGTAATACTCATCCAGTATTATGTCAGATTTCAGTACACTGCTTTGTAGACTTTGTTCCAGTCAAGTTAAATCACACTGTGAAGCAGAAGGTAAATCATGTCTGTGGTGTAGCGCTTGTTAAAGACGTAGAAACAGCGCTGCGAGTGCCCCATGGGCCCATCTTTCTATATATTACAACAGGATTACAGCTGGTAGATGGCTTCACCATGTACTCCCACAAGTGGATCCTCCATCTACTTGCATATACCACTCACTATCCTGTTGCTTTTCCCTGTCTTTTACTTTCAATATGTTGCATCACCTCTAGTTGTGGGTCTCTATTTTCACTTCTAATAAAAACTCCAGAACTTGAGTCAAGACACCACGGCCAACACTAACCTGCTCCAAGGTTACACATACAACTCTGCGTCTTTAAAAACAATCTGTGGACTTAACAACACTGAGGGCATGTGCCATGTAATGCTGCATAATCCTCCCTAATCCAAGGCTCAGTTTTCTCTGTCCCATGGCAATGGTTTTGAAATAGATATCTAAGTCAGGGTTATAAAGATAGTGAAATGTCTGAAGTCACATTTGACTATTTGAGGTGGTTGAGATTTGTGGGAAGAGGTATTGTGGGCCTACAAAAGGTTGCAATTTTCACTGATTTCATGCCTTTACAGTGAAATCTGTTTGAAGCCAGGGACTAAAATTGTTCCAGGCTCACGATATGAAAATACACAGAAGCAGAAATTACATTTCACTCAGCTACGTTCAGGTAAAAGAAATAAACCATAAACCTACATTCCAAGAGCTTGGATTTGCTGATTTCTGACTTTAAATACAAAAACATGTTACAGTGAAAGGTTTGCTGCAGTTTTCCATTTCAAAAATACCAAAATATTTATTGGGCCATAATAAGAACAAAATGTTTGGGGCGGCCTTGCAGCCTTGATCTAGTGATAGAGAAATCCCATTATAAAATCAGCCCTTGAACGGATACCAAATGAAACCATGAAATCCAAGAAGGGTGTCAAGGTTGGGAAATAAATACACACAGAAACATAAAACATACAACTCTGACTTTCTGTGAGAATTTATTTGCAAAGGAAACGTAAAACTGTGCATCTGTGCACCACAGGCTTTTAAAATTGCAACCATGATAAATAAATTGTATAAAAGTTCCAGACATCATCAGTCAGCTACTGTTCTGCTACACACCTTCTGGCGAATAATGTTTCCATATTAGCAAAAACACACTGTGAGCTATGCAATGTCAAAATCTGTTATCTAAGTCAACGGGAACTTCCTCCAATCTCAGTTTGTTCTGCTTCTCTCTCTGAACGGTATCTGGGCTGTAGCACAGCTTTATCTCTGCGAATGGAGTGCACTGTCTGATCTGGAGTCAGTATTTAGTTTCTCACCACAAATAGAGAATCTTTGTTCCCAAAGTGAACCACAGTTATTACAGTTGTCCTGAGTAATTTGTGATTTGATTCAATGAAAATGAACAAAGTTTCCAAATCTACAAAGTTGCCCTGTAAATGAGTGTGTGTAGCTTCTATGTGTCTGCTCATAAAGATATTAAATTACATGCCGTACAATTTTTGAAATTTCTCATAGTGAGTTATGCCTACTCTGTCTGTGACAGTAATGTAACATGTTCTGGGTGTTTTCCCCGACCGTTGGTAACCTGAGCGCTGTCACTTCACTGTTAAAAGCTGCTCCGGTTACCAGTCAGGAAGCCTCCCATTAGAGCAAATGTTAGGGGATACGGTTTCCCTTTCCCCTTTCCTCCCTCTTTAGCGTGCGTGTGTGTGCGTGTGCGTGTGTGTGTGAGTGAGAGAGAGAGAGAGTGACAGAGAGAGAAAGACAGATTGGGGGGTGAGGGTCAGCTAATCTTATGAGACAGTTTTCAGCTGGACAGTTTGGTTTTATGCTGCAGTTGCTCCTTCTTCTGTCTGCCTGTCTCACACACATGCACACAAACGTCCCTCAAGCAGTGTATCAGTTTAGCATGTCAAACTAAATTTTACCAGTTTCCAAGCACCTGCACACACCAGCAATTCACTGTAACATTATAATAACATACCACATACCAGTACAGACGGGACAGTGGATTTGCAAATACAATTTCCTTAAAATAATAGCTTCTGGGAAAGTGTTTGTTTTCATGTCCATGTATGCAGAATTTCTAGGTATGATTTCATATGTGTGTGAAAGGGCATCTCTTAATAAAAACTTTTAAGACTACACACAATTTCAGAAAGTCCATTCATTAACACTGCCGCTGATATTTCCAAAAATGTGTTCTCCATTGTGCCACTGGTCATTCCAATTATAGTTTAAAGTAAAATCTCAGAGACAAGTAATGAGCCCAATCTAATTTTTTCTTACATGGTGCATGAGGCAAACAAGCAGCATTTGTCTTAGGACACTGAGGGCACCATTGTTAAGAAGAAGACTACAGTATATAGCCCTGAAGACTCAGCTGTTGCTGTGTGGGGCATGAACTCAGAATGTCAACAGACAGAGGGGGCATTTTCATTGAAATTAGCATGACAGCCTGGCACAGCAGGAAGGAAGGAAGGCAGGGAGCCCTCCATTTATTCTATGGCTCTATATATAACTCTGGGAATGGGAATCAATCAACCTATATTGTGCTGGTCATTATCACTGGCTCCATCAGTCTGAACTGCACATTGAATAGTCAACTATTGCTAGTAGCTCCCTGTCATGTGCTCTGAGACCACACTCTGTTACACACACACACAGACACACACAGACACACACACACACACACAAATATAGCAGACTATCTAGACTTGTCCATACCTTTCTGAGAACAGGATCACTGTTCCTAAATTTGTGCATGTGTGTAAAAACATTAGTGTTTGCCTTTAATGACACACTGTCTATTCTATTTTACTCTGTTCTATTATAATATCAGTATGCATTAACTGTGTATCACATCAGTCCAGTACCTTGAGCTGACTGGAGCAGCCGTACTGTATGAGCGGTGTGAACGTGGTCAGTTGCAGCTCGGCGTCCGACTGCAGCACGTTGCCGACCAGATTGGGCATCTTGGTGACGTTGTATCCGAGACCCTGGCACATGCTGATCCTGATCGGGTCGCAGGTCATCTCCTCTACCTCATCTCCGAAAGCCTGCACCAGGCAGAGCGGACCGACCAGCCCGGACAAGAGGAGGAAGGCTGCGCCGGTAAGCGACACCATCATCCCGGGCATGGTCACCGCGACACTGAGCGGCTGCCCTCTGTAAATGCTGGCACAGTTAATATTTCCTCAAACACAAAGTTAGGTCGGGTCGCCCTGGAAACGCCGGCGCGTGTTTATAGTCCAACAGGAGGGGGGCGCGTGTAGTCCGTGCGTTCTGGAGGCTACAGTATCCCACTCAGAGCCATTCAACAGATTAAAATATCCTGAAATGAGCAGTGAATCGTTGCGGGATCTGCACGTAAACAAAAGCGCGTGTTTTTAATTAAAATAGCACGTGCATCTGCAATTAAAAAACTATATTTGAATAAATCCCCCAGTCCTCCTTGCGTTGTTTCCCGTTAGTAACTCCGTGCGGAGGAGCGCAACGCAGCGACGAGACACCACGGTCTGGTTTTGCGCCTGTACTGCCTGCAAGCGTCCAGCACTAAACTTTATTGTGTCTGTGAGGAGAGACTATTTTGCCCGTCCAGAGGAGAGCCGACCAATCCATGCGCGGGAGTTGGGTTTCCCTGACCAACCCCTGACCAGGAGGGCGGGATCCAAGAGAAAAATAGAAGAGCGAACCTCATCCCCTGCCCGCTACCCCCTCCTCCCCTCTCCTTTGCTACAGCTTTTATTTTCCATCTCCTGTCTCCATACCTCTTGCATCCTTTGCTTTTTCTTTCCTAATTTTTCTCAGTACGTTCCCTCTCCTCTCCTCTCCTCTCCTCCTGCAAAGAAAATCAGTGAGCATTCCCCAACTAATTCTGACAATATCCAGAACCTGTATTTATACCGGCTGATGTGGTTTACATATATTTTTATTGGCTGTATTTTTAGAAAATAGGCTTCTGAAAAAGTGGATTTTTCAGTGTGTCTGTGTGTGTTTATTTTAAATTTAAAGTCCCTAATGGTCTTTTAAGGCTGTCTGGAACTTCACCACAGGTTCCACTCCCCTTCTCTAAAGGCCCGTCAGCTCTAAGTGCTCATGACATTGTAATTGAAAGTAGGGCCTTAAGAGATGCTGAAGCATTGGAAATCTGTTTTGCATTGCAATGAATGCACATACTGGACAGGTTTTGTTTGCTCGTGGCACCCTGGGAGAAGGTTTCTCTTTTACAGCATGAAACTAGCAGTGAAGAGTGTTGTTTTGGCTTTTCTGTGTTGCAAAAGTGGACTTGGGTGAGAAAGTGCTTGGATTTGTTGCAAATATTTGGGTGGAGGAAAGCTCAAGGAACACTTGATTTGTGTTTTCTTCCAAGTGATTTGTACAATTCTGAGACTGTTGAAGCATCTGCCAGGTGTAATGAAGCTCAACTTAAGAGCTCCATGGACCTTTTCAAATTCTACAAGTACGTGATGTTACTGTGGCCAGAGTTTTGATATTTAACAGGATTTAAATGAGATGAGGCCTCAAAGCAACGGCCATATGTAGCAAGAATATATATATATATATATCATCCTTTGTGTGAGAATTCTGAAATTAAACCATTTGCCATCTTATGTCCACAAGCAAGCATTATTTATTTGAGTTTTGCGTGTTGACCCTTTGACACAGCTGAATCTGGGTGAGATAACAGACCTGGTATTGACATTCCACACATGACCTAGAAACACACACACACACACACACACACACACACACACACTCTTTCTCCCACACACAAAGTGAGGAAATGCAACTGGTCCCTAAAATGTGTGCCCTTATTTTATCTCAAACCTAATATAAAGAAACATTAGGGACCAACACAGAAAGAAGAACATTCCTTTTCAAAATGCCAGGCTCATTATTATTATTATTATATTAGACTTATAATAATTGAAATTAAAACTTAAAAATGCAGAAAATGCCTAGGAATGTTGAAAGAATAGAAAATGAACTAACTAACTTCTGTTAGTTTTTTCTTTTTTTTCAACCTGGTGTGTTTCTATCAGGTTTTACGGTATAGCTGTGGATAGGAGAGTCACATAAACTCCTCACTCTTGAAAGTAACAGGAGTCTGGTTGGCTGATCTCATTGTGCTGCCATGTTTTCCCTCTTGGATTATAGACTGTGATGTTTAGGCGAATCCAGTGTGACAATTGATTGGCAGCAGCAATGACCTCTCAACCCAGTCAACCCCCTGCCCCCCAACACACACTCACATCTCTCTGCTCACTCACACACACACACACACACACACACACTCACGCTCACACACATTCGCATATACACCATCCCCCTCTGCTGCTCTTTGGCTGAACCTGGGGTTAAGACCTGAGGTAATTAGCACTGAGCTGAAACAATAGAGTGTGCCCTGGAGCTGATGGTTATCAGGGGTGTGGTGTGTGTGTGTGTGTGTGCGTGTGTGTGTGTGCGTGTGTGTGTGTGCGTGTGTGTGTGTGTGTGTGTGTGTGTGTGCACATGCATGCAGAAGAAAGAGGGGAACGGATGGGAACATGAAATGGAGACATCTTAAAACCACTCTGAAGGTTAATTTAAAGACTTACGTACATTTGAGCAGAAAGCAAGAGGACAAAATTAGTTATGATACTTTTTTTCGCCATCACAGCGTAATCACATCAGTTATTTAAATCAATTCATTTTAACGACAGATAACAAGAAGAAGAGTGAGGAAAGCAGAGGGAAAGGGAGTGTGAGGTCAGGACTGACAGTAGCACATTATCAGCCTAAGCCACCAGCACACTCTGTCCCCTCTGTTGTCTTTCACAGTAGAGTGTGAATAGCAGGGGTGAGCGGACAACATGTTGGGACTGACAAACTAATGACCATCACACTGAGTGGATAATGACCACAGTTACTCTGTAAGCCATAAAACCACTGAGTTAATAACCAAACATCCCCATTAAAATTGACTGAATTGACATTTGGCCAGTAAGCACAGAAGATGGAACGAGCAGGTATTAAATCTGTTTATAGCCTCATTTTAAGGTCATGGATGTTTACATGAGATAAGATATGATTAAACCTGGTGTAGTGCATGAGACTTAAATGTTACATGCATCTCTGACTATTCAAGACAAATTATTTTAGTACTCTGGTTTTCATGAATCCACAAGGAGTGTATTCTCTGGCTGTCCTACTTCAGTGCACTAACCGTTTCCTGACCAAACCAGCAATCAGCAGCAGGAGGAAGTCAGACTGCCAATACTCGGGTTAGTGCAAGCATAATATAAACATTTATGGTGACTAGTTAATTGATGGTGACTGTATGGAAAACAGTCTGCAGAGGTGGGCCACGGGCAAAGTAAATATCTAATCAAAATGTATCAGCAACATGATGTGGGTAGCGGGGGGTGGGAGGTTGGAGGTTGAGGAGGGTTTAGGAATTTCAGCCGTGCATGTCACTGATGGTGACAGTCGGACCAACTACAGTGATAACAGGTTCATGTGCCCGGTATCTCAAAACATTCCCTATCAGGTCTACATTTTTTTTTTTTTTTGAGTTCATCTTTGTTGGAACATGAAATGCATAATATTATTTTCTCTTCTATATTTCATACTGAAAACAACTTTTACAACAGAAGATCGGATCAGACTATTAAAACTACAAATTAAAACTTTACATGCAGCACCAAGTCTGTGTGAGAGTTTGTTTTGCAGTCCAGCAGTGCTGATTTCCACTGCTGTAGGCCAAGCAAAAATAGTCAGGGCTTTCTAATTATCTATGCCACACAGTTTCCTCCAACACAACATTCATGTGATTCTTTTTGCGTGTTGATGCCAACAGAAAGGACTCAATGGTGTGGTTTTCTTTCCCAAATTACCCACCCTTGCTAACATTTTGATGGTTTAATGCTTAAGAGCCCTGCCTTTGGAAGGACATGTGCCCCGGCTGGCCTTGGATCAAACCTCCCCAGAGTCTTAACTTCACTAATCCCTACTCTGTATCACTGCCACCTTTGTTACTTCCACAATAACAAAAAAAAAGAAAGAAAATACATGTGCAGAACTTTAGGTACCACATGAGACAGACTGTGCTGAACAAATATATAGTAAGTAGACACCACTTTTATTGTTTAATTTAACTTCAGTCCTCAGTTGGAGAGGCAGGATTTGGGGAGGAGAGGCAAGTTAAAGAAATATTTATGTCTTGACAGAGACCTAAATTTCGGGATTGAAATGTTATCAGATGATCCTGGAATAAGACCTTGTTGGAAATACATCAATCACAGACTCAGAGCCTATGTCTGCTACCGTCTTTGCTCAAAAACATACAATCTCTGTTTGTTGGTGAACCTGCTGCTTTAAAAGTGACACACCGATGTGGAGGAATTGATTTATGATTATTAATAATGTAGCTTCGCTTGAGCGGACAGCTGTAAAGCTCAGTGGAGCTAAAATCAGCAACAGCACAAGTATAGGCAGGGCACTGCATCTGTCCTTAATGATTTAATACCAGCTGCTCAAAATTCATTTAGATTTTGTTACTAACTTCCTCTATTTTTGGCAGTACCGTCTATTCAATTTTAAACATTCATCTTGTGTGATTCATTCGTTTCATAAAATGTAAAAGAAAGAAGGGAAGCTGCTTTTTCTGCATGAAAACCCTTATCTATCTTAGATTTCAGCCGTTCTTTCACTCCACATCTTCTATGAAACATTTTCAGACACCACTAAATAAATTCAGTATCAAAATTCAAGGTTTTTAAGGGACAGAGTCAAAGTATAACTCTATTTGAAGTATGCCGTTCTCTTGTATGTGGAGTACACCGCCCCTTCTCCTTCTTAAATGAATACATACAGTATATATGTTAGTTTGGCCACAGCCTTGTTAAGGCCGACTCGGTCTTGCTGTGGGAATGTAACCATTCTAACCTTTCAGCTTGGCAGGCTGAGTGAAAGGCAGTACCCTGAGGACAGAAAGAGAGACACAAGTGTGTATCAGTCACCAGATAGCATCTTATGGCTCGATGCCCAATCCCCAGTCCTTGAAGTGTGGTATTAATAGGCCCGCCAACTCCTTGGAATGGTGTGAGTGTGCATAACTGCAAATGTTCTGCATGCAGGAGAGTGAGTCTGAAGGTGTGTGGCTTTCCTTCCATGAATTTGGTCTTTTTAAACCTCTGTGTATGTGAATGCAGGTGTTTTCAGGTTAGGGGTGGGTGGGGGTTGGCGGTGGGGGTTGCGGGATGGGGAGATGGGGGTGGGGGGGGGCATGCGTGGGAGTAAGTGCTTATGTCATTATGGGCTTGGGGGAGCTTGATAGAAGAGAGTGGGGGGTTTCTACAGGTGATCTATCCCCTCTGGGACATCAAGCTCACATTACCCTGCTGTGGAGTACCATACACATGCACAAACAAGTGGACACTCTTTCTTTTAAGGCTGTTTTCATATTAGGTACGAGTGCTTTGTTCCATGCCAAAGTGT